TGAACCCGGCCTAAATTCAGCCTAAACCTGCCCCAAACCTGTCCCAAACCCACCCTGAGACCCCCAAACCAGCCCTGAGACCCCTGACTGCCTGGTCTACCAGGGCTTAGTGCTCAAGCAGGTGGTGCAGCAGGTATGGAGGCCTGAACCCGGCCTAAACCCAGCCTAAACTCAGCCTGAACCTGCCCCAAACCCACCCTGAGACCCCCAAACCAGCCCTGAGACCCCTGACTGCCTGGCCTGCCAGGGCTCAGTGCTCAAGCAGGTGGTGCAGCAGGTATGGAGGCCTGAACCCGGCCTAAACTCAGCCTAAACCTGCCCCAAACCCACCCTGAGACCTCTAAACATGCCCTAAACCCACTCTGAACCAGCCCTGAGACCCCCTGAACCCCCAGGTGTGCCAGGTGCCCCACTGACCCCTGACCACTCTGACCCTACTGACCACCCTGACCCTCACTGACCCCCTAAATCCCACTGACCCCCTAAATCCCACTGACCCCCTAAATCCCACTGAGCCCCAGTGACCCCTGAACCCCACTGACCCTCACTGACCCCCTAAATCCCACTGACCCCCTAAATCCCACTGACCAACTGACCCCACTGAGCCCCAGTGATCCCTGAGCCCCGCTGACCCCGCTGATCCTCACTGACCCCCTAAATCCCACTGACCCCCTGAGCCCCAGTGACCCCTGAGCCCCGCTGACCCTCACTGACCCCCTAAATCCCACTGAGCCCCTGACCCCGCTGACCCTCACTGACCCCCTAAATCCCACTGAGCCCCTGACCCCGCTGACCCTCACTGACCCCCAGGTGTGGGAGGCGGCCGATGTCCTGATCAAGGCGGCCGTGCCGCTGACCACCAGCGACACCAAGACGGTGTCGGAGTGGATCAGCCAAATGGCCACCCTGCCCCAGGCCTCCAACCTGGCCACGCGCATCCTGCTGCTCACCCTGCTCTTCGAGGTACCCCAAAACCTGGGGAGTGACCACAAAACCTGAGGGGGATACCCCAAAACCTGGGGAGTGACCCCAAAACCTGGGGAGTGACCCCAAAACCTGAGGGGGATAACCCAAAACCTGGGGAGTGACCCCAAAACCTG